ATATTTTGCGATGCGTTTGTGGTACTTTACACCTTGGGCTTTGCATTTTGTCTCGTAGTTATCTTTATTTATTGGGCTTAGTCGATGCAGACTGGGTTGGGTGCAAACTCACCCGACATTCTACCACTGGTTATTATACTTTTCTTGGCTCAAATTGTATTTCATGATGTGCGAAGAAACAACTTACTATGGCCCGCTCCACAGCTGAAGCAAAATACTATGCTCTTGCTTCCACAATTGCTAAACTCACTTGGATTTCATACATAATGTGTGACATTGGGATTTACCAACGTCAACCTTCGTTACTTTTCTCAGACAATGTGTCAACCATCTCACAACTAATCTTGTTTTTCATGCTCGGAGAAAGCACATTGAGATCGATTATCATTTTGTTCAAGATAAGGTTGCTCTTGATCCTATTGTAACTCACTATGTTCCGTTTTCCTTGCAAGTTGTTGTATTTTCACCAAACCATAGTGACTCGTGATAATTTTGTCAGTTTATGAACCAAACTTAGTCTTTGGTCCTCCCCATTGACCGGTTTGAAGGGGAGTATTGAAAAAACTAATCAAAAAGTAAAAATCAGAATGGATGCAGTGCAAAATCTTATACAAATCAATATGAAGATAACGCATCAAGCAAAGTAACCACGAGTTGATCATTTAGGGATTTTTTATGATTTGTTCTTTTATTCAATTTCCATGTAGATCAGATTGCTATATTTTATTTTTAACTTCCACCATAATTATTGGTAATGATACCTCTATTTATACCATAAAACGTATCAATGAAAGTACACTTCATTGACTTAATTATTTGTTTTGTTTACATTTGGGGTTGACTGAATTTTGTGCCCATTCGATTCTCACGGTAAAACGAAATGCAAATATTTGGTTCGTGATTAATCATGACTTGCATCCAATTTCCACTCGGTTTGCTGGTCAACACTCAAACCAATGAAGAAACATTAAGCTGTACATGCAACTGCAGAACACAACTGTGCCAACGATCCTTTCGTGATCACGTTCAACTTGGAAGCTGTATCAGCAGAAGAACCCGACATATAAATTAGTTTATCAGCAACCACTTACAGCTTCTTATCTTTGAATTGAGATTGAGATATTTCGATTTCTTTTCTGGCTGATTGGAGTTGGTGGTAGATGCTAGATGGTGGGCTGAACTGCAAGTTTATATTTAGGGAGAGTGTACTTGGACTTGGACCGGACCTCACATCAAGATTCAACTTTATTATTATCATTTGAATTTTCAGACATTCCTAATTAAAATTACCACGCTGCTTATTCAACTTTTACTCGCACCGAACAAGAAATTACTATTATACATTGGACAAGTGATGGTTAACATTTCAATGCTTTTCGCATGATAAGTTTGCATTAGATTGCCATTTTCAAGAAATTTCATGAGCAGGATATCTTGCAGTAAAGCTGGAATTCTTTTTTCTTGCATTTTCTGTTTAATGTCGACAGATAGGTAAACTATAGTGGCAACTGCATGGCGATGGTACATTAGTTACCTGCAGAACATTGTCTTTCTTTTCTAGACTATCAAGTAGATATCAAATATGACTTAGTAAAGTACATATATAATATTTTTGACCAAAAAAAAGTACATATATAATATAGTCAACATTTAAATATAGGAAAACCACCAAAAACCCCAAACTTTGCATCTGGACACATTTACTCCGAACTTTTTTGTGACACCAAAACCCCGAACTTTGCTTTTTGTGACACATTTACCCCAATGTATTTAGTCCATGGGCATTTTCGTCTTTTCTGCTTTTTCTCTTTTTTTTTTTTTTTTTCCTTTTCGGCGAGGGGGCCTCGCCGCCGTCGCCGGATCCGAGGGGCCCTCGCCGCGCCGAGCGAGGCGGCCTCGCCGCGCGACGCGAGGCGTTAAATATATAAAAAATACAAATTGTTAGCGAATAAAATAGTTGATATCAATCTCTCATATGATCGCTCGAGCTATAGAGACTAGAAATTCAACCTTCTTCACGTGATTCCAATTTCAACCATTGGTAGCTCCACATGCCCTACACGCCACAAACAAAAACTCTCCAAGAGATGGATTTTTGGGACCCTTCGATACTCAAGTCAGTATTAACTTTAACTGATGAATGAAATTCTCAGAGTAACAGCCAATGTGCACAAAAAGCCTCATATCTCAAACGGTTGTTTCTGTGAGCTATTTATACTTATTTCGATATCCTAAGGTTCCTTAATTTTCGGACATGTGAGATTGTGGGATTATCCGTCCCATAGGTTGGTCTCGAGGACATGGCAGTCAGATCGAGAAAAAGGAGTTCGATCTAACTTGTGATCCTTTCCGTACTTTCCACTTTGCTCCCTTTCCGAATCAGTTGAGCCTTTGGTTAACGAAGTTCATCTTGTGGCTTCTCGACGGGTCACGTTTGTGGGCTCATCTTTCCCCATCGCATATGGCTTCGGGCGAAATTGATGTCGTCATTAATTGCAGCCCATTGATGAGGGGTGAAGTTAATGTTTGTGACCCTCGCGAATCGCTTCGTATTTTTTCAAATCGACGGAGTGTGGACCTCTTACAAGTGTCCGGCCGGCGTAGATCTCGTCTCAAGATCACAATTTTTTTCATCTCCTTCTCTCCACGCCATTCTTCTCGTTGGTGTTGTTGCGGAAGCCAAACGATCGAACAATAAAATCGACAGAATAAAGAAAGTAAATCGAACACCAGATTTACGTGGTTCGATCGTAGTGACCTACATCCACGGGAAGAGCAGCACGGAATTACACTATAGATCAATCGATATAATAGAGATTACAATCACATTCAAGTCACTCAAATACTCTCAGTATTTCTCAAGTCTCAATTACACTCAATAACTCACGCAGTGTTTAGCCCACAATTCCTCACGAAATAATCTCTCAATTTCGCAAAGAAATTATACACAAATCGCTACAAATACTTGAATTCTTGATGTAATTCCATGAATGAAATCACGAACCCACTGCCAAACACCCAGCACCTGTGGATGACCCACGGCAGAGGAAACGGCGCTTCAAGAGGATTTTGGCGTGCACCCCCTTCGGCAAAAGAACAGATCTGCCCATATATATACATGCGTCGCGTCCATGGTCAAGTTTCCTCTTGCAGAGTCCAATAAGGAAAAGGAAAAATTGAGGAAAGTGCATGGTCAACTTTCTTTTTTTTTTTTTACTGAACTTGGCCGACTTTAGTAACTAAGGGAAATTAAGTGCGCCCCTCTTTCATTTCTTTTCTCTGACACAATTTCCACCAATTCTTGCACCCAAATATAATACCAAGACAAAATAAGACAGATTTTTTTTTTCTTTCTCCAACGCCCAACAGAAAATCTGAATTTCCACGGCAAACGTCAGCAAATATTCAACTTCGGACTTTCCTGTAATAAATTTTGGGTCGGGTTTCATTTAACGGGCTCAAACTCAAGGCATATTTTAATAGGCGTTCCTCGAGTTCTCTCGAGCAGCATCCCTTCATCTAGTTCCCGGAGCTCAATCTCATATTTTTCCTTGAAATAATGTCAGACCTCTTCCTCATAAGGTACGTTTCCTTTTTTCTCTCCCTTAACTCTTGGAAACATGGTTCGAACTCCTGCTTCTCAACCAATGTCGGAGACCTTAATTACTCTCTGATTGAGCCTTCCTCGAACTGAGGTCATTGATGGTAGCCACGATTCCAAATCGAGAGCATATATTATAGTTACCACTTCCTAAATTGAGTTTAGTCAACGTACTTTCAAATCTTTTTTCAATCAAATCGTCCAAGTTGAACTTCACCACACGTCGTTTTGATTTTAATGGTTTTCCGTAGGAAATCAATGAACCATATGATTAACACTGAAATCCAACATAAATAATTTGGTCATTGTTGTAATAGGTGTGCGATCCTTGCAGGAACGTCCAGATGGATTAGCGAAGTTGGTTGTCGCTCCCCACCTCTCACGTTTCGCGACGGGAAAGTTAATTCAACTTGTAATATGGTGACTGCTGTGAAAAACCTGTTAAACAGGCTCTGTAAGATCCTGTAGGATAAGATATGTGATGGCTAATCCTGCGAGTGATTTCTCAACTTCGATTGGGCCCTAAAGAAATTAAGCAAAAAAAAAAAAACAGCTCAACCCTTTGTAGAGAAAATGGAATTTCTGAACTTATATGGAGCCCACTCCGATTGGCGGTGCACACCACACATAGTATAATTGCACATGCTTCTTCCATGTTTTGTGCCTAGTGTTCAGGTTTCTACTTTGCTCCTTAGTTCCTAGCTGGTCAACTTAGAGAATTGAAAACCATGGAAATTTCAGTCATAGCAATTCTTTCTTCTTCCCCCTCAGGGTTCAACTTCTTTTGGTGATATTACGGGTGGTGTGGTAGTTTCATAGAGAGCGATTTTGCAAAGATCTTTCGTGAAATTTCATAAATTATAACATATTCTTTTTGAAATTACAAGAAACACCGTACGATCGAGGAGGAGCGACGGTCCCTACTGGCTCCTGTTCATGCATTATTGACCTAGGATGAGTTTGTCGTTAAGTGGGAGATATCCGGTACACGAGTACTGTGAATTAGTGAAAGAAGCTATCTTATAATATTCAAATAGTTAGGTGGCAGTTCAATACATGTCCTTTATTTGTGCTTAATTTACCACATTCCCGAAATAAGCCTTCGATGATTAGCTCATCAGAAAGAGCTCCGATATCTTCCATTGTCATCTTCTATGATATGGTCTGGTCCTGCCGGTTCATTTCCATTGCATCTGTTGACTTTTTTCTCCCATGAGGCTGTATATGTGCTCCTAACAGAGGGCTGAAGTGGCGTAGGAATAACTAAACACATGATTGCCAAATGATTGGCCTTTTATATGTTTCAGTGCAGGCATCAAATCGCGTTGACCTTGTACACCCACCGCACAAGAATTGGAAAAAGAAAAATAATGATAATAACGTGATTAAAACGCAAAAATTTACAATACGAAATTTCTTTGACGAGAGATTACAATTCGCGTAGGATGAAGGTTTCGTTATTCCCAGAATCCACAAGTGGAAAAGGCAAAAAGAAAACCCCAAAATGTCTAAGTTTTCATACAATGAAATGAGGATAAATAGCCAGCTTTGCCTTTGCATCTGCTCTCTCTCTGTGGACGGCACCAAACAAATGACTAGTCTGTGGCTATGCTTCATGAATGATGATGGCAAAGAAAGACTAAGACGACGACCTTACTTTTCTTTTGTTCTTTTGCCCTTTTTTGTAAAATTGAGGACGATGAAGGAGTCTATGAAGCTGTCCGATTGTGGCCACAGAACTGGAAGCTATTGGTGTCCATCCTCTCCAGCACGAAATGGCCAATCATGTCCGTTGACTCAACCCTGTTCTCTCTGCACAAGAACTCGTCCCCGCAGACCTTCTCCACATTCCTATAATAGTCGTGCAGGATGACGTGGGTCTTCGGGTTTCCGCCCTTCTTGCTCCGCGCGAGCACTGCCGCCGTGAATATTGCCGACATCCTCCCGGGCGCCTCTGGCCAGTCCCCGCGTGGCCCGTCGACCAGGATCACATCCCAGCTGACCTCGTACACATGGTTCGGGAGGTCGTTGATCCCAAGCCTGCACTCTGAGAAGAGCAGGTTCTGCACGGGCCGGCACTCGCCCCGGACCTGCTCCTTGGCCGACGCAATCAGTTCCTTCATCTCGCTCATCTTTGTCGTGTACTGTACGTCGTATGCATCGATCTCCGGGTGACGCTCCTCGACATAGGCCGCATAGTACCGGTTCTCGTCAACGAACACTGTGCGACCACCGTGGTTTAGGGCCTTCCACAGGAGGGTCTCGTGGGTGAGGCCAAAGACAAGGAGGTTGCACGGGGTGGCACACTTCCGGAGCACGTCCGATATGAGCTTGATGTCCTTGTGGGACATGTGGTAGGTGTCGTTCGATCTCGAGGCATAGTGGATGAGGGTGTTGATGACTGTGGTCGGCAAGGGCGCATTGGTGGTGGCGGTGGAGGAGCCGGCCGGGTTGTTAATTGAGGTGACTCGTGAGGCCGCGCCGGCAACGATGGATTCCCGGGAGTAGATTAGCGTTCCGAGGAAGGCTAGCGTGAAGAAGGAGACGAGGGCAAGGAGCCATAGCCGGTTTGAGCCGCCTTGCTTTTGGATGTAAGGGTGGAGGAGGATGAGCTTCGTGTTGCTGGTGTTGTTGCTCTTCATTCTTACAGAGAGAGAGAGAGAGAGAGATAGATGCGACAAGGTTGGTCGAACAATGCGATCCCTCTCGCGGACTTAAGATGGAGATTCTTGAATCCTGGGGATGTAAAGGCTCAAGAAAGTTGGGGTTTGATTTAAAGAATAAGGTGGAAAGCTAAGAACCAAGGAAAATGTGGAAGCAATGTGGAAATGAAAACATATGTGAAGGTGACACCACAATCACCCCCCATATTATATTATTCATGAATGAACATGGGCCATTAAATATGATTTCTTTTGATATGATTTAAATTTCCCAGGAATAATCAAGACTGGCCTGGCAGGGCCAGATTTTACTTATTTTTTATTTATTTATTGGCGTTTGTAGTTATTTTTGGAACAGGGGAATCAATAATCATGCCCTGGAAAATTTGAGAAAGGAAAGAAATTTTTGAAGGTGGGGGCCAAAAAGGGTGGGTTGGGAGAAGACCACAAAGGGGTGGTTGGACTGGAGCTGGTGGTGGCATATGTGCTTGAGCGACCCAATAACTAATTACAGGCCGCGGGTCGCTTTTCCTTGTTCATTTGTGCTGCATTACACGCGAAAACCAAATGAAAAACATTTCATATCATCGACAAAATTTAAAAGAAAAAACATAAGGAAACGAACGAGGGAATATTCCAATATTTTCTATTTTGGGTGGTTGCATTCGGAGAGGGACGAGCTACCTACAGCTGATTCCAATTGGCAGAACCCCGGATTGACTGGTGTCCATCATTCATTACAGCGATAACTTAGCATTGCATGGACTTGGTTTGGTTTTCCAGAAAGAAAAATTGGGGAGGTTGCTTTTGGGAGTTTTAAACGAGTCCGACCAAGTCTCCAGATCAAGACCTGCCAATAATTTTATTCAGTTTTGTCGTCAGCTGTGGTAATAATTGGCGATGTGTCGGCTTGAGTTTTGCCCTCTTTTCCTTTCCCACTGTTGAAGGCAAGACCTGTTCCTAGGATACCTTTTCACATTTCGTGTGAAATTTGACAGTGCAGATTCATCTGTTAGAGATGAAATTAGCGGAATGTAACAGTGCTGAGGTGACTTTTGATTACTTAATTCTTTTAGTCAAGAAAGCATCTTGTGTTAGTTCTTCCATTGACATCCTTAAAGCTTAAGTAACCCCATTTCAAGCTTCGGACACTTATCAATGTAGGGTAGGGCATATAGCTCAGCCTCCCCTAAAAAAGTTATTCATTGATTTCTTTTTTAATCATTTAATCACTTTTTTTTTACTTCTTTTTAACACATTTCATCATTTATTATTTTCTTTTTATATAGGGAAAATGACACAATAAATCTCTTAACTTTGACCTAATGTGCAATGTGATTCGTGAATTTTTAATTTATTCAGTGTAATCCGTGAACTTTAATCCAATGTGCAATAACGTTCCTTAACTTTTAATATATTCAATATGATCCATAAACTTTTGGTACATGTTCAATTTAGTCCATGAACTACATGAAAATGTTCATGTTGCTCCTGAACTTCAATGAATTGAAAAACAACATTGGATATTTTCATATAACCTGGAGACTAGATTGAACATTTGCTAAAAGTGTAGGGACCAAATTATACATTTGACCAAAGTGTGGGGATCGTTTGTATAATTATCCTTTTTATATATAAGTACATAAAATAGTTAATTACTATTTTGTGATAAGAATTAGAGAGAGAACAATCGTAAATATGATCCCTTATGAGTGGCATTTCACTTTTTTGCATTGATTTGATGTAATGTTATTTCATGCATGTATGTGATAACAGCAAAACATTAGTTAATGGAAGAATAAATAAAAAATTTTAAGAGTATATTACCTTCTTCTCAAGTATGAATTTAAAGGGAAAATTTCTTGCACGATGGTGTAGCGAGCACACTTGATCTCACCTATTAGTGTGAGCCCCTTGAGGCCTGCATGATACAAGAGTCAATATAGTTCAAGCTCAAGTGCACCAGCCACACTTGTGTGCTTCTCATTAGATAATCTCTAGTCATGCCAAATTTATGATTTTAAGGATCCATAGGGAATGGATATCCAATTCCTTGATGGTCATCACATACAAAGACGAGTAAATCTTGCTCGAATCACAAAAACTTGCTTTTTGCGCGTTGCGACATTTTGTATAGGAATTACGGAAGATTGTAAGGAGTTACGACATATTACAATTGAACGATCCATCCCGCCGAGATCGTAGAAATGCATTTGAGTGCGTGATCTAGAGTTTGAGTCGACCTATAGATTTCGAAGGAGTAAAGACAAGGTTCATGAAGAAACGAGAATCACCTTAGGCTAGAGTGATCCAAATAGCGAAACGTACGGAAGGTAAGAAGGACAAATGCAACGCAACCTCATTCACCATAGCGTCGCACCGACGGAGGATGAGAGAGAGAAGTGGAGAAGTTGATCACCCATTACAAGTCAAGAGCGCACACCAAACGTGAGAAAACTCCCCTCCCTTTTCTCCAAACCAACCACCTCGGGTTCGCTTAGTCAGCAAGAAGCAGACACGAGCTTGGTTTGCAAAGGATGACGTCATATTTCCGAATTATTTTTAAAAGGTGGGTCCAGAATTAGGTAACTTGTCCTTCTCATTAATCTCGACCCTTTGCAGAAGAAGGTTTTAACTGTGCAATTTTTTCTTTCTTCTATTTTGTTCTTTGAAAGGGAAAGTCTCTAAGGATTACCTGCCCCAGATAGCAAGAGTCGGGTATTCTTATCCGGCAGTTGTCCAAAGACTCTTTCTAGCGACAGGTACATCAATCTGTCACGAGTTGCCCTGAATGTATTGAAGTTTGATGACAATCATTTCAGGGCTCTATTCCACTGACAATCTACAAAATTTTCTCAATTTATTTAGCTCGTAATAACAATCACAAGGCATGGTACCGTAGTACGACGGGCTTAAGCTTGAGAACGAGCTCAAACTAGTGGTGCAACCTTGACTTCTTAGCAATTTGATCGCACGAGCGCCGAAACTTAGAGGACTGAAACTCTGCTAGTTTTAATACACTAGTGAAAACCGGATGTGCTTTGGGTTGTAATTTTGGTTTCCAAGTAGGCATTTTCCTTAGAATCAAGGGATAAAGGGATCGAAAGTCCCCGAACTATAACAAAGTATCCAATAAGGTATTTCAAGTTTTTTTTTTGTAAATGCAGTACATCCCTAAACTATAAATTGTTTTGTTTGAGCCGGTCCTTCTACCAAAGTCCGTGGATGGAAATTGTGCCACCCCACGTCAGCGCCCCATCGACATACTCCACCAACTCGTCACCGATGTGGATTTTAAAAGAAAAACAAGATTAAAAAAATATCCACAGCAACTCACCATGATGCTTTCGTGAAATAATCTGAGCCAGAATGGTACGGGCACAAGAATCAGAAATCATAAAGCACAACAATTAAATACTAACCAATGAACGCGGTAGCCCAGTGACCAAGGAGTTACAATTTATACTGTGAAGGTGCAAGTTTAAACCATGTCGTGAGCAAATTTTTTACCGGCTTGTGTCTTGAGCATTTGTTCTCTCATATATAGAAACTTCCTGATTTTTAATATGAGCTGCGACGATAGATTCGTGCATTTTCAAGAAGACTAAGTAGTTGTTATTGAAATCAAACATACCGTAACGAGTAAGACCCTATATTAACTCTTAACAAGAGGTAGTTGTGCTGGTCGTCCCCCAAATTTTTTGCCAATAAAAATAAACAATTAATTCTGATCATTAACCATACTTTGAACCTATAAGGTACGTACAACAATTAAGGCACAAAATCTAATGCGAATTATGAACCGGAACCGAAATCGCATCACTTTAGAGGGAGAAAGAAAACCTAGAAGTAATAATCTGTCAATCTCCTCCTTCTCCATCTCTAATCAAACTGAAATTGAAACAAAACATCACAATGCAACTCCAACAAATTGAGCCTACAGAATCAACAAAACTAGAAAAAAAAAATTGACACTTGCCACATTCAGGCAAGACCAGACCGCGTGGCTTCGATCTATGTGACTGGAGGTGGAGCGGATCGCCACCATAGATCTGTGCGAGGGCAACCCCCCTTATTGAGGAGTGGCAAGGCCAAAGAAGGTCGCGGCATCACCTACCTTGCTTGGTTGGTCGCCGAGAATCCCCTTCTCCCACTGCTCGTGTTTGACAACTGAGATGGCGGCAACGGCGGCTGCTAGTTCGCGTGAGCCTGCGAGAGACGCCAGCCCCTCACCGGTGTTGCGACCTCAATTTGCAGTACCCCTCCCCTCCGTGATTTTTCTTTGTTTTTTTTCCCTAAATTTCAGAAATTTGGAAGAACGATCTTTTAAAATTTTTAATTGTCACAAAGGATGACATGTCAACATTTAATAATAACCTAAAGGTCCTGTCACCAAATCTATTTATTTTGTTTAATGTAAGAACTAATTCGAACTAAAGAGTATGTAACATAGGGATATAATTGCACCAAAACATCAAGGGATCCGATTGAACATTTAGCAATAACTCTGGGACTCGGGTGCCTTTATCCCTATATTTAATACTCTAGTAGTGAATGTTGAATCAGTTCTCACCTTATATGTTCATCGTACAAGTCGGCGCAAAGACATTTATGATATGATCTCTTTAATTCCAACATACATGCATCTCGTTATGCAATAAAAGAATGCTTTAACTTTAACTAATTCGAGCCGCAAAGAAATAAAGAAAGAACATCTAGAGAATCTTGAAGGACGACCAACTCTACAACGAACATTTGGAGGAAGGCGTTCAGCTACTCCCAACTTCGTTAATCTTCAAGGACGACCAACTACAATTTTCTGTGGAATAATTCCCAAAACAACCCAAGAAGGTAAACCCAAAAATAGTTTGAAAAATGATTTTCCTGTCAAGTAGCCACGATTCTGCAGAAACAAGTGTACTTGGCACATATTCTTGCTAGTACAATGTCGAGATTCCACCAACTGCATATTTTATGACGACTTTAACTTTCTTGGGAATCGATTAGACTTGTCAAAATGAGTTTAAACCCATATGTGACCCATTTAAAATTATATATGAATCTCTTCAATTTTGAAAAGCCTACCTTAAATGGGTTCTATCGGTTTTCGTATTAGTAAGAGTATTAACTTTTGTTAAAGTCCTTACCAAAAAAAAAACTTTTGTTGAAGAGATTTGC